GCTGGCGAGGCGAAGGAGGGGCTAGGAGCCCACGTGTGCAAAATGGCTCCTGTCGGTCAGCTGCTGTGCGGCACAGCACCCTTGTCCCCACACCGCTCCTGGCCTCTCCTCACGGTGCCTGGCCCAGCCCCAAGGCGCCTTCCCTAGCCCTGCTGGGTGCAGGTCCTAGTCCCCACCGTGTAGCGTGGCACCAGGCACTCACCTCCTCCTGCATCCCCAGGTGACCTCCCCAACCCCTTCTCCAGTAATTCCTCCTCCCAAAGTAGGGTCTAAGTAGGGTCTCCCGACCCACCTCGCCCCATACCCCCAGCTTGCTCCCACCCGATGCCACGTAGGATCTTCCCCCTTCCCACCCAGCCCCCAGGTCCCCTTCCCCAGGCACGCTTCGTCCTCCTTTCCTACCCTTGCCAGCCTCCAGCCTGATGGCAGAGCATGTCCTGGGGCTTGTTTGGGAGAGGAGTAAGTGTTATTTCCTCCCAGACGTCAAAAGTCCTTGCACTGATTCACCCTGGCTGGAGACCTGTTGCCAGCTGGGGACCTTCCTTGTGCTGTGAAAGGGCATTAGTGTAACAAAGGATCCCCCGGGGATTACCCAGCTCCTTCCTCTCTGTTTGACACAAAATAGGATCCTGCTGGAGACCAAAATCCCATCCCTGTAATAACAGCAGGATCTCACTGAGATCCTCCTTCCCCGCTCTGGTATAACCCAGATCCTCCTTCTCTATTTGGGTAGAACCCAGTTTCCCTGTGCTCTATCGCCTCGGGGTGTAGAGGGCAGCTCGTGGCTCTCGCTGCCCCCTCCAGCTGCTTTTTTTTTTCTCTGTGCTCAGGGCCAGATGGCTGATGTGCTCTGCGGCTCCACGCTCCTTCTCCTGCTCAGAGTCCCAGCTGACCACTTTGTTTGTAATAGTCCTCGGAGGGGAATTACAACCGAGTATTAAATGTGTGGTTAAAGAAATCGCATTACACAGTGTGACTGTGAGGGAGATTTTTCCCTTTAATCTGTAATCCATGGAAGTTATTAGTTTAGCGAGCGGAGCGGCTGGGCACGGCATTTCCATTAAATATAACCCTGAGCAGCCCCGTCACCTCGGGGCGGGCTGAGCACAGCCCCTTGCTCCCCGACGCGGTCCTCCCTTTGCTGCTCCTCATTATTCGAACGCTGCTACCGCGTTACCGTGGGGCTGTCGGACGTTGCAGGGAAGAAAAGGGAAGTGATCGCACTCGGCGGCCGATGCGCTCCTGTGAAATAATGTGTCATGTATCCTGTCCTACAGGTCTATGCAATATTAGTTAGCCACCCTCCTGCTCCCAACGATCACCTAACACCAACACCCGTATCATACACAGCTGGCTTCTACAGGATCCCTGTCATTGGTCTGACAACACGCATGTCTATATATTCGGATAAGGTAACTGATGCATGTTTCTAGTCTAGTACCTCATACCTGTGGTGTAAATCAAGAGTGCTCGTCAGGAGGGTTAATGATGTCTACACTGCCCTGCCTACCTATGTGTCTGTCTGTCCATCCGTCCTCTCCAGTTAAACCTGCAGCCCCCCCTCCTCCCTCTCTCTCCCTCCCGCATTCCCCGGTACATTATTTTTTCACAGCTGCCAGGGTTGACCTACATAGTGCTGGATGATTTCTGCAGCGTTGCTCTGCCAGGCTGCAGGGCTCACTGCTCTTCAGCCGAGGCAAAGGCACAAACTGGCTCCTGCCCTGCTCCCTAGGGACAGCCGAGGGGGTCCGGGG